AGGGAAAGGGCAACGAGGGTTAAGAGAAGAGCCACCCTGCGCACAGGTGGTTTAGATCTCTTGAGAAACAGGAAGAAAAAAAACTTGGGTAGATATTGACCATTTTGAAGGACAGAATGTCGTTTAAAAAACTGCAGGTTTTGTTTTCTGGATTGCATTGGGTGTCCGAGGTGTTGGCAGGGAGGCTGCAGGGCCTCTGTGAGGGGAGGCCGGGGCACAGCCGGCACCAGCCGGTTCCCGCCGGCTCCGCAGCACACCCTGCCGGGCACAGCTGAGCCCCTCAGCAAAGCTGGCGGTGCCTCTGTGAAAGCACATGTAAGAAAGGACAAATTGCCACACGGCAGAGTGAGGAGTGAGTAAAAGTGTGAGGAGGAAGGAGTGGCAGAGAGGAACTGTTACGGACTGACCGTGACCCCCATTGCCATCGCCCTGCGCTGAGGTAGAGGAGTCGGGAATGGAGGGGGGAAGTTGAGCTGGGAAGAAGGCCGGGGGCGGGGGGAAGGTGTCTTAGTTTCTGTCTTTGTTTCCTACCATCCAACTCTATTTTAATTGGCAATAAATTAAATCAGTTTTCCTAAGTCGAGTCTGTTTTGCCCATGGTGCTAATTGGCAAGTGATCTCCCTGTCTTTATCTCGGCCCACGAGCTTTTTCTTCGTGTTTTCTCTCTGAGTCCTGCTGAGGAGGGGGAGTGAGAGAGCGGCTGGGTGGGTGTCTGGGAGCCAGCCAAGGGAACCCACCATATGCATAAATAAAACTCTCATTTTGTTATTTTCCATTAAGTCTCTGAAATACAAGGGAATATAGCCTTAAAAGAAAAAAAAACTTGTATTTGTGGCAAACAGATTTTTCAGACCTACAGAATTTGTTCTTAGCCTTGGTGGTGATGGGTGGCCTGATTATGCAGAACAGTTTCTCTATTAGTCTGATGTTTGAATTAATTTAGCTGAAATTCTTTCATGGATTCTAATCAAGAATGACACAGACCTTCACAGACTACCTTTAAAAGAGTACTCAACAGCATGTTAACAGCGGATTTTAAGTAGGAGGGAAGGTTGAAATGAGGCTTTTATTTTCCTATTTGTTTCTGAATAGAAATCGTATCTTAGAGAAGCAAAGCAGCTTGAAAAGTAGTGCTTTTAGAACTGAAAAATTCAACTCTGAATTCACAGTGTCACTTTTTGTCAAACTGCTGCTGTGGTTGGCACATTTTTCATTTAGCTGTGCCCTGATGTGTTAGGCTTTGTTTGTGATATGAGAGTGATCTAGACCTGTTGTGTGATTTCAGGTTTCTGCACTGAAGAACAAATTGAAGAAAGTCTCTACAACCACTGGAGATGGTGTTGCAAGAGCATTTCTAAAAGCACAAGCAACTTTCTTTGGGAGCTACAGAAACGCCCTGAAAATTGAACCTGTAAGTAGGAAATTAGTATGCATAAGATGTAAGATGTAAATCTGCAGCTGTGGTGGGGAAAAAAGCTAACAAGAATTCGAAGTGTAGCATAACCTACTTTTACTAAGGTCAGCATTGTGGCTCTTTGGCTGACTAGTACTGAAAACAGTATTCCAGTCTTCAAAAAAGAAAGAGGTGCAACAAACATGATAATCACACAGGGAGAAAATTTCTTACGGAAAGGTATGGGTGTTGCTTGTTTTTGAAGACAGTTAAGTTAAAAGAGAGATGATAAAAAAGATGTAAATTAATGATCATAGGAGGCTAGTGCAGAGTTGACCATTTTCTCTCACTGCAAAACTTGGGTATTCATTGTATTGTTTTAAAAGGTAGTAAAAGATACACTTTTTACGCAGTGTATGCTTAACTATGAAACATGCAAATTCATGGAATCATGGAGTTTAAGAACATAATTAGTAAAGAAATTGTACTTTTACAGAAGTATGAAGAATGTCTGGAGTTGTAACTATTGACGATAAATGTTCTATTAGGGAAATTCAATCTCTTGCTTCTGGTTCAGAGCTAATCTCTATTTAGCAACGATTAAGTGCCATCTGAGTGGGGGAAGGATTTTTCTGTACTTGATCTTGGGTTTTATTGCTTCTAGTAAGGCATCTGTTCCTGGCTTACTGCAAGTAGCTTCATGGACTTCAATACAAATCAGTCCAGCTAAATTAATGTATTTCCACATGTTTTGTGACGCTCTGGTTTTGCTACCGTGTACTTAGGAGGTTTCTGTTAAAGTGTGTACGTTTTGCTGATAGACAAGGTAAATAGTATGAGGTAATTCATGAGATATGCCCCAGAAGTATGGGGGATGAACAGGTACTAACTGCAGAGTGATCCACAGAATATTTCCAAAATATTTCTGAAGCAGGGGAAACTAACGCATGCGCAAGTCAAGTGCAGTGATAAATCTCAATGCAGTGTTCACGGGCTCATTTGAACTACCGTTGTTTAGACCTATGGCTGCTAACAAGAAGATCTCTGTAGAAGACAAAACATGCTTTTGTCTTAATGCCTTCTTCTCTCATCTGCAAGCATTTGGAGGCAGAACGGAAAATTGGTGGTAGCAGTGGAGAACTTGAATACCACTGGGAGATGCTAAGATGAGCTCTGAGTGTTAAATGGGGAGGCTAAATGAGTGGAGTGAGAATGAAGGCTTACTAGTTGAGAAAAGGTGTTGTATTTTGCATTCTCCTGCTCTGTGAAGATTAATGAAGAGATGTGGCATGCAGACAAGTAATAAATCTAATTTTAATCATGGTGTTAAAGGAAAAGACCAGAAGTTGGATTACAGGTGTAGTGTTTCTTGAGGTTGAGGATGTTTCAGTAACTAAAGTCTCTTCAGTACTATAGTTTGTCTTACTTGTTATTTTTAAGGCCAGAAGGAAAAAATAGCTCAGTCTGAATTTTAAACAGTCGAGTTATCACCATCAAATAAACATAATTCCAACAATTCATATTCAGGGTTCAAAAATGACTTTCGAAGTCAGCATGAGTCCTTCCATGTCTTACTGGGGGAATCCATGTGTTGTGTGTGTGGAAAAAATAAATTGTATTGACTTGTGTATGTATGTTTGGGTGTAAGTATTGGGCTTTTAAATCATCTAATGTGAAATAATGGGAGGTATTTAAAATGTTGTTCATATAAATAACAAAAATGAAACCAGCAAGGCACTCTGGCTGAAGCCTCCTTTATCCATGTCGGGGAGACACTGACTTCCCTTCATCCATGCAGGCTTCCTTGTTCTCCGGTGCTCCTCCCAGTAGTTGCCAGGCAACTCTGGGAATATTAGTGTATGCTTTGCCTGGATCTGTGCGTGAGATTAACTAGTTAAGGGATTTATGAAGAAAAATAAAAATGTAAATTGCTTTTCTGGAAATACCATCTGGTATTTTGAATGCTGAATGTTAAAGATGAACATTCGAAATCAGTTGACAGTGGCACGCCCCTAGAAAGTGCAACTTCGAGGGACAGCTAACCTGAAGAAGTAGAAGAAATTGTTTGGTTTGCTTATCATTCCATCAAAGGAAAGTTGTAAACGTAATTGCACAAATGTGTCATAAAATCCAATTTTAATAATCAGGAAGTGGAAATTTTCAGGGCTTTCTTTCCCAAGTCCTTTTATAAATTAAAAATTTAATTTCTGATCATACATTTCAGTATTAAGATTTGGATAAAGAAAATTTGCAAGTGTTTCATGTGCTGAACATGTCAGAATCAAATGACCTGCATTGTGTTTCCAGTTTTGCCACAGACATCCTGTGAGGGTATTGGACAGGTCATACAACTATTTTATACTTCACTTCCATTTTAGAATATGCCAACAGTAAATGCAATTACTGAGAGACTCTTGTTAATATTTGGAACATCGCACTTAAAAATTAGTTCAAAACCCTTGGAAAACCTGATCTTAAGAAGATGCAGCAGAACTCCAGAGAGTAGTGAGTAATGAGTAAAACAATTAGGAAAAGTACTTGCTAAGTTCACAAAAGAAAATGGGATTGTAATTTAATTAAAAAGCGTCATAACTGGCCATTAGTAAGGCGTCTTGCAGTTTAAAGCCCTGTGTTTCTCTGTTGTGCTGTACTTCGAATGCTGCACTTGAAATAGTCTTCTGTACTCTCGCGTAATTCCATCATCTATACAGCAATTATGTTCATTGTTATTTCCTGTCAGCTGTTTAGCTCAGTTTGCTGAGTTTGTGGATTATATGCTGACAGGTGTTCAAAGTGGTCATGATACACATCATCTCATATAAATACGGAATGACGTGAGTTTCTTGTTGAATAGTGGAAGAATATTAAAGTGTATGCAGCAACTCTTTGATTGCTCTCCATTGAAGTATCAGAATCCACAAAGACCACAGTGGCTGTCATAAAGTGCTTTAAAATTTTAACATCTATTTGGGAAAAAATATTTTGAAACCGTTACTGGTTTAACAGTTGCAAATAAAATCATTTCGATGTGTCCGAGACAAACAGAAAAACAAATGGAAGAAATAGCTTCTAGGAAAAGAACATATTTTCAAATACCTCCATTGTGGGTTTTTTCTCTTACCACCTTTACATGTCGTAAATATGGGGCATAAGCAATACCAAACATGATGTGGTTCTTTGCATTTGATGTCCCATAACTCAGGAAATCTGACTGTTCATTTAAAATAATAGATAATTAGGAAATAAATTCAAAGAAGCAGCAGCTTTTCCTCCTTTCATAGTTTTTGTCTCATAAGACAATTTAATTTGGTAGACCGTTTCATCTGGTATGAGTTGACTTTTCGGGATAAATGGTGTGAAGCCATTTTTCATTATTCTGTGTAGGCCCAGAATGTGTCACAGAGCAGACTTTAAATTGACATTATACTTAAGCATAGTAAGAGCTCTTATTCTCTTCAGATGCTTTTACTCTAAAGGTACAAGGTTATGTAATGTATATATGAACCAGTACACCAACAATGAATGAGTTACTGTTGCCGTAAACTTTCTGAGGCCTTCAGTAACTAGAACTGTTGCATGAAAAAACATACCCAGATAATACAGTCTGCAAGTCTAATCATAAGATTCATGTAACAAAATAACTGATTCAGTTATGTTTCCTGCTGTGTGTATGTGTTTTCTGTAGTTGCGTTAAGCCAGATTTTAAGTAGGGAAGAGTATCTGTTACATGTGATGTACTTACAGTCTCCACAAACCTCTGTTGCTATTAAGTACAGTAAAACACATTAGAAGCAGTGGGTTTACTTGGGTGTATTGAGGCAGATTGTTATCTTTATGAATATTACTTAAATTTTTAACAGTCACACCAATGTGAACATTTTGTTCACGTGAGTTACTTTTTTCTAAATTCCTGATCTTTTGTTGTTTGCAGAGGGAATGTTTTTATCATCTTCTAAATATTTAATTCACAAAATTAGGTCATCTTCAACAGAAGTAGCTATATAATTACTACGTGTGTGTAAAGGTGGTTTGTAGTACTCAATAGTTGTGTGTATATTGGTGACGGAGGGGGGAAATGAGACTCACATTTTCTGCATCAAAGATGTTGGCCATGCACTTTCTTCTGCTGACACCTAGTGGTTAGAGACAACATTTAATTGGTTTTCTTTCGCAGACAGTCTTTGTTAAGAAACAAACGTCCTAACACCTGTGAATAAAGGTAAGCTCATGGTGTAGGTTGACCGAAAGCAGTAGCCTGTGGGGTATGATACAATACGATGTATTGGGTTTAGGTTTGGGGTGCTAGTACAGCTAGCCTAAGCCATCTGGGTGCTTTTTCACCTATCTTGGGTATGATAGTTCAACAGCAGGCTCCAAGTTTGACGTACAGTCTTCTCAAATGACAAGCTTTCTCTCTGTTCTCTGGGTACGTGGGCACTCCAGTGAGCCTTGCAAAGGGAATTGTGTGTGCTAAATACAACATTTTCTAGCTTGATAGATTTGAAAAGCTTGTTTACTTGCTCTTTGCTTTAAAATGTGTATATTTTGAACAGGTATTTCTATTTCCACCTCTTGGTTCCTTTTGTCTGTATTTCATTGCTATAAATACACTGTAAGGTGAAAATTTCTGTGCTTGTTTTTCTTTTGCAGTGCTGCTACTTTTTGTACGGATAATTAAGGGGGGGTAATTTTAACATTCATAAACCAAATAGATATCTGTATCTAAGTGCTCCTGCAGGTAGTTCTCTCTTTAACTTCGCTGTTTTGCATCGATAACTTCTTATATGCAGGCACTGTAAAATTTGGTGTCTCTCTCACAGCATAGTATAGATGGTATACTGAGGTGAGAGGTATATGCAATGTGAGCTAAAGTAGCCCGTTTTATTTCTGAAGAGACATGTCTGTGCATGAGATTCTGGTGTTTGTTGGGTTTTGAATCAAGATGTCCTGGTTTGTTTTTAAAAGGCTGATTTAGTTATTATTAATTTATTAATCTAGTTATTAGAGTGATGAGCTCTGCATTTTTTGTAAAATGGTTTCTTGTATGTATTGTCATATTACCTAAATCTAGACCTTCCTCTCATTTAGAAAATCCATGTAAACCTGATTTTGGTGGATTGTGAGTATGCTAGATACTAATAATTTCCGTATTTTGTACTGGATTTTTACGGTTGCAACACCTGTGAGTGTTTCCAGTATGTGCCAGTCTGTGGCAACAACGTCTCTGATTTGTGGCAGTGTGGCTGAGGAGGTGAAGCAATTAATATAGTTGCATTACTTGTAGCAAGAAGTATATTCCTTATTATTTGGCTCATACTATCTTCCTGAGGT